GTGATGATCTATCAGATCGGCCTCTCGACTGACTGCGACAGTCTGTAAATCTCCTGGAGGATGATCGTGATCGGTCGCACTGGCGTCGGCTGTCACGTCTGTTGCATCAGCCCCCCGCATTTCGAAACCCCCCGCGTTGTGGAGATCGTCTGCTCCCTGATTCGCGGGATGGCGGTCTACCACGACTGTCCTGGCTGGAAGTCCGTGGACGGCTGGGGCATCTCTCAGGTGTCTTTGTACCAGGTGCCAGATGAGCGAATTTGCATTTGTCACCCTTGTGGCACTTGTTCTGTGCGAAGTAACTGCACTGCGCCAGATGTGGGAAGTTGCACTTATCGCCGCGCGCGCAGGTGCTGCGCTTGACGAACTCGAAGCAAAATGGCTTCGATGCAGGCTTTTTGGAATTCGCAGGGGCGGAGACGCCACGGCGAGCGTTGCTGCCAGCGTTCGATGTTCGGGAAGATATGCTGCCCTTCCCGCCCCTGGAAAAGGCATGTAAAGCCTTGCAACGGTCACCATTGCGACAATTGCCTTTCTTCCAGGCTGCGCAGACTTTTCACCTGAGAACGGTTCTCATACTCGCACCTCAACGCGTGCTGATTTTTCTCGAGTTGTTTGAGCTCCAGTACGTCTAGAACGCGCTGTCGGAGTCAATCATAGGTACGATTCGGGTCGCTCATCTCCATGCGCGGGCATTCGTACATATCCTGTTTCATCCAGGCATGTCGGCGAGTCTGCGCGCGAAACATAGATTCCAAGATCTTTGGGTCGGGTGCCTCTCGGCATTCCAACAGTGAAGCGCCCCAGTCGGTAATGAGTCGTTGCAAATCTTCATCTTTCATCCTCAGTTCTTTGAGGCGCTCAGAATCATGTAGGTCGTCACCAACCCCTGTCACTTTGTAGGACTGCAGGATGTGCAAGTAGATCTGGCGTCCTTTCAGCATGCGTCCTGCCTTGTGCTCTCTGGTCTCGATGAGCCTGATCTGGTAGCCCAGATCAGAGGATAAGATGTCGCTGAGAGCGGCAGCGACTTTGCAATCGACGCTCTCAAAGTCTCCGCTGCCTTGTAAGTCCTCAAAGGTACATTCGGGCTGTTCAGCCACGCACAGAAAAACATATGCTTTGGGTGGTCGCCCTGAAGCGGCCTAAAAATTATTCCGTACCTTTTGCTGCCACTCAAGCAGCTGTGTGATCTTAGGCAAGACAGGGACTCGGACGGTGTCTGACTCCGTGATAGGAGTAGTAGTATTGACCGAAACCGCAGACAGTGGTTGTGAGGGTAGCGGTGCACCGTCGGTAGCTGGTTCTGTGCGCACGGGAGACACGCGGCGCGTCAGCGCTGACGCTGCCGCGCAGGCTGCTCCTGGTGACGTACGTCTTTGTCCCGCAGAAGCGCGCGGTGCTTCAGCGGACGCTGCCGTCGGCCTGGACAGGCCGGTTGTAGACTGAAGGTGAAGTATGGTGTCGTTGGTGTGGTCAATCAATTGATTTGTCCAGTTCGTCATGTCCTCATGAACGTGGTCCACTTTTTGGCGTGCATAGTCGTCGGTGTCCCGAGAGCGTTGCGAATGCCGATCAAGTCATTGCTCGTAGGCTCGGAGACGGGCGTCGTGTGCCTCCATTTCACCTTCCAGACGCGCGAGACACTCCTCAACACGTACCTTTTCAGCATCTCTCTCACGAATTACCTGGGAGAGCTCAGACTGCGCGTGGCCCGCCGCCGTCTTAACCTCCTGCAACCTGTCAGCGAGGCGGGCGAAATCGTAAACCGTAGGAGGAGATCCCAGCTGATCAGTCTGGGCTCGTCCGACACGCAACTCTGCCAGGGCGCCCTGTACACCAGGTAAACGCTGCTCGATGTCAGAGATCCTGTTAGCGAGGGGCTGCACGACAGCGTTGGTCGCGTCAAGCCGTTGAGCGATAATTCTCTCAGTGTTTTGCAACATGCCGATCAGGGTCGACGAGTTAGCGTTCGCTTCAGCACGAAGCGTCGCCGTAGCGTGGCCCATGTGGGATCGAAGATCATTGATCTGAGATTGGACGTCGCCAAGGTCGGTTGCCTCAGCTGGAGGCGGTCGGTTTCGGAGCTGGTCGTGGATCTCGTCATGTAGGATCATGACCGCTGAAATGCCTTTGTCACGAACGATCACAAGCTGTTGCTCCATCTGCGCTAGGTAGTTGCGCAGGTGCTCGACCGTCGCTGACCGTTCACCTGAGTGTGACACCTCACGGTCAACCTGAAACTGCAGCTCACCTAAGATACGACGGTCTTCAGCGATCCTGGAATCTATGATCGCTAAGGCGCCGTCAAAATCTTGACGTAGGGCAGCAGCGTTGGCAGCGTTCGTCTGCACGCTCTGCATCAGTCCAGAGTACTGCCTGGACACGAAGGTTTCAACCTGGCCTCTGAGCCCATCGATCTCACCTGCAGCGGACGCGACCGCCGGCAGGTCGTCTGAGAGGGAAAGGTGGGGAGCGCCAGCTCCCTGTTGCATCCTCTCGCGAGGAGCGCATGGCCTCTGAGAGGCAGCACGCGAGCTCGACGTAATCTCGCCGTATGGGCCTGTGGCCTCTCGACGGTTACGCAAGGACGAGCTGCGGCTAGGGCCGCGTGCGTGGTGTCTGATGATATGATACCTGGGGATACTGCGTATGCGGCTGTGCCGCCACTGGTCTACCGAGCTCCTCGAAAGCGGCAATGCGCTCCGACACGGGAACGCTCGCAGGACTGGTCAGGCCAGCACCTGTGTTCCATCGGCGGGGAGCGCGGAAGCGCCCTGGAGTATCAGGACCAGCGGAGCTGGCGCCCGACGCAGTTGGGATTGCTCCCGACGGAAAAGGAGATGGAGGTTCAAAGGTAGGCGTGTGAGATTCTCTACTGCCTGTTCCTACTCCTTCTCCTGTCCCCCCGCGGGCGGCCGGGCGGTGAAGTTCAGCAGCTAGCCGCGCCACGGGTCCGTCTGAGCTGGGGGGGGGGTATCTGGGACACCCACACGGTCACCTCTAAGGCTCTCCAACTCATCACCGAGCCGTCGCGCCGTCGGAGAGCTCGGACGCGAGGCCCCGACGGATCCCTTACGGCGCATGCGCCGTTTGGGCTCCATCGAGGCCGCGTGCGATATCGCGACGCGGGGTTCGATGAACGGTGAGTTTTAAGGGCTGATAACCTGTGTATGGGGTTGGAGTAGAAATGTACAGAACCCCTGATCCGCTGGTAGAGGATGGGAGGGAAAGATGGATACCTGTTCTTCCTGCACGATCAAAAGTCTGATCGATCTAATCCAATACCTGAGCCCAAACGGCCAGGAGCAGGAGAGTCAGGATAAGGAGTATATATGAGGGTATTATACGGGTTCTATTCACAGTCCCGTCCCCCCCCGTCTGGCCGAGGAGGGTCAGCAGCTGTCTCACCGTCGCGCTCGGCATCCCCCCTTGAGGAGGGGGAGCAGGAGGAGGAGGAGGAGGAAAAGTGGGAGAAAGGCGAGAAGGGGGAGAGGGGAAGGAGGGGGATAAGGGCGTCGGGGGGAGGAGTAGATCGAGGAGCGGGAGGAGGAAGAGGATGATGATGATGATGATGATGAGGAGGAGGAGGAGGAGGAGGTGAGGTGGAGGAGAAAAAGAGGAGGAGATCGAGGAGGAGGAAGAGGACCAGAGTAAACCCAAGGTGCGCAAACGCTGCTGCAACACAGCCTCCTGTGCCAGCCAAGTCCCCTCCACATGAATCCCTGACAGCCTTCCTCTGCATTTCAAGAAGCGCCCACTTGAAATACCAGCACCCTCTGGGCCTGCCGTGGAGGCGAGAACCGCGTTTTGAACCGAAACTAACTGCTAGACGTCCGTTCAGCGAGTAGAAAGGAACGCGCAAGAGTATGACCATGCAGTTCAACGAGAAAGTGTCCAGCGAGATCCCCGCTCTGAGGAAAACCCTCCCCTGTCTGTGCAGCTCCTGCACAGGACTGCACTGATGGCCTTGACCTTCGACGAAGTCTCAAGCGACAACCCCCTTTTGACGAGCACCCGCCGTCCATGTGCGCAGGCATACCGTATGCCCCATTTCTGGTATGTACAGCGTCAGAGAAGTCTCAGGCGAAGCGCCCTCCAGCCGTGCAGCCGCTCCGCCTGCTCGAGTTCTTGGCTGCGAATCCCAGAAAGTTCCGAGGCCAACCGTTTTGAAGGCGCAGCGTCCACAACCCTTGCAGCTGGTGTATAAGAATGCGCGCGGCGCGAAAAAGACGGTCCTGTGTAGAACAAATGAAACCCTGCAAAATCTAAAACGAATGCGCGCCGCGCGCTCAGGCGAGGGCCCCCCCCCCTGGAAACGCCCCGCCTTTTCATCCGTGAACCAGTTGCAGATGTTTGCAACGAGTTGTTTGTGCGGCGCTAAGGAGAAAGCTTCAGTTTGAAAACGGGCCGCCCTTCATCCTTGGAGTTGATGCAAGCTTGAACAACGAATGCGCGCGGCGTTCATGCGAGAATTCAGTGTTTCAGAACGGCCCGCCCTCCGTTCCCGAAATTGTTGCTCAATTGTACGATGCGCAGCGCTACGGGGAAGTCTCTACTCAAAAAACAGGCCCACCCTCCATCCTTCAAACTGCTGCGAACTTCAAGTTTCAGACTGAAGACTCAGGCAACACGCCTGGCCCGCCCTACCGACACGCTTCGGGTTGCTACAGGGAGGACTTGTTGATAGGGAAAGGAGGTACGTTCTGGAAAGTTTTGGCGAGCACGGCGCGCGGGAAAGAAGGAGGGATGAGGAGGGGATGGGAGCAACTTGGACCCTAGGGCTCTCAATCCGACAGAGGAGAACGCCCTATAACTCCTGCGTTCCCGCCAGACGGCGGGATGGGCGAGGGCTCGGCCAGGGACGGGGAGGGATGCGAAAGATCCCGAAACGGCGGCACACGACTGCTGCTGAACCGAGGCGGAAGAGGCTGTCTCAAGACATGAATCATTAATGCGACCGCAGGGCGCGTGCGCGACATTCTGCTCACATCGCTGTCAAATTCAATCGACGGAACCACTCCCCGCGTCGACATAGGAACACCTCGACTGGACGACGGAACAAGGTCGGGAGACCTGCACTGGTCACACTGAAACTGGGAAATGGCGGAGGAAAAGGCGGAAGAGGAGGAGCAGGAGCAGGAGCAGGAGCGGGAGCGGGAGCAGGAAGAGGAGCGGCGAGAAATGCTCAGAGCAGAACCCTCGTCGCCCCGAGCTGCTGGGCCGCCCAGCGTCGCGCCCCCCCCCCACCCGCCACGCGCAGCCCAGGGCACGCCTGCGGCAGGGCCGCGTCACGACGGCCTGCGTGCTGGCCTCTGGCGGGACGCAGCGGGACAGCCTGCCGGGAAGCCGGGAGCACGCCGACTCCCTCGCGGGTGGCCCACCAGCTGCTGGAGAACCCCCGTTTCGCGCGGCGCAAAGTGGGACCAGCCGCTCTGCGGTCCGCCGCTGGCCCGTGTGTTAGGGCGGGAGAGCAGGGTGGGCGGGAGGCAAAAGCGCAGCCTGCTCGAGGGACACTCTGCCAGGAGGCTGCACACACTCTTCGGACCAGCTCGAGGAGGTCGCCCAGCGGCCCCGGAAAAAGAGAAGAAAACGGCAGGGGCAGGAAGAGCAGGAGGAGGAGCAGAAGCAGCAGCAGCAGCAGCGGCAGCAGCAAGAGGAGGGGCTGGAAACACACACGGGTGGATTCGCACGTAGGGCGTCTGGACGCCGCGTGCTGACACCAGAGGAACACACAACTGCATAAACATAATTTGTTGGAGTTCCGCCCGGAGCTCCAACAGTTTACGTCTATGCCGTTTCTCTCTTCTTCGAGACACGCACAGGGCCAGCGCACAGCTGCAAGCACGCGCGGCTGGACTCACACGTGGGACTCCTGGGGGCCACTTGCTGGATACATGCGCGGAGAGCCAGCGTCGCGCCCTCCGCGCGAGGGCCCGGCGCCGGAGAGGCACACACGGCCGCACCGTGCTGCCGGCTCTCCCTCTCTCGCCCAGGCCGGCCACGCGATGTGTCTGCAGCCTCCTGGCAGCACCACGACGGGTGCCAGACTGGCACCGGGGGGGGGCAGCGTTGGCGTCCCATACAGCCCGGCGCCTCGGAAACAAGCGAGACGTTTTTCCTCGTTCTCGGCCTCCCGTGGCCCTTCCCGGACCTCGGGGCCGTCAACAGAACGACTCGGGATGAGACTTCGGTCCTGGGGAGGTGGTCGAGAGGTCGGGGGCCCGTGCCTCGAAAAAGTCGGGACGCCGGATGCCTGGGCTGAGAACGGCGACGCATCGCCGACGGATCGGCCCGCAGGCATCCGGCGGGGCACGCCCACGCTCCTAGGCGGGGTGGGGCATCCGGGCCCAGGTCGGCGAGGGATGGGCGGGTGTGGGTAGACGCTCCTCCCCCCCCCCACTGGGCCAGTCCCACCCGTCGTTGTCCCTGAACTGTGCGCCACCCCTTGGAGGCGCACGTCCGCCCGGAACATCCGGGAACAGCAAGTCACAGCAGACCGCGAATTGAACCCGAGCGGTATGGCCAGAGAGCGCCAACCGTCGAGATGGCACCGCACGGCGCGCGCCACGGCCCTGCGGTGCCGACGCGCACACAGCAGAAGCACGCCGAGGGTGCTACCGGTCTGGCACTGCGCGAATCGCTCAAATCGAAACAGAAGACACATCATAATCAGAAAGTTTCGGACCTACGAGAAATCACATGTTTGTGCAGTTTTATCTTTGAGATCTGGCATCACGCGAATTATGGCGGCGCGAAAAAAGGGGTAGGGGTAGGAAAGAAGGTTTCTTAAAAGGAGGCTGTTTCTTAGATCTCCAGTTGGCGGCGAACCCACGGGGGCCTCCTCCTCCTCCTCCTCCTCATACTCCTCCTCTTTCCTCCCTCCATCTCTCCCTTCCTCCCTCTCTCTCTCTCGCTCTCTCTCTCTCTCTTTCTCGCGCCTCCTCTTCCTCCTCCTTCTCCTCCTCCTCCTCCTCCTCCTCCTCCTCCTCCTCCTCCTCCTCCTCCTCCTCCTCCTCCTCCTCCTCCTCCTCCTCCTCCTCCTCCTCCTTTTCCTCCTCCTCCCTCCTCCTCCTCCTCCTCCTCCTCCTCCTCCTCCTCCTCCTCCTCCTCCTCCTCCTCCTCCTCCTGGCTCGTACCCAGGGCGGTCCTTGGATGATCTGCTTATACACGATGCACCGCTGCCCGAGCAGCGGGGACCACGGCCGCGGCGGCCGTCTCTGTAATGGGTGGGGCGAGGGGAGCGAGGAAATTGTAAAGAGTGAAGGCGGCGAAGGGGAAGAGAAAGACTATGGGGATGGGTTCACTAGGCCGACGCTCTCTAGGATATCGGGCGCTGGAGGGCGGCCCGTGATTCTGCTCACTAGGTTGAGAACAGTGGACACATCAAATAATGCCTGAGACTTTCACGCTCACCCTCACACCCAAGAATACAGTTTGTCTGGCCTTGAAATCTGCGGCTCGTGGCCCAGGCACCACTGAAAGTCTTCGGAACTCCCCGGGCCCACGCTGGGGGACAAGAAGACAAAGATCAACGCACCAGGTCCCAGTCCACGGCATGGATTCGAGGGGCGAGGACGGGGAACCACGACGACAAACGACGCGTGAAGGTCGACGCGAGGACAGGGGGGAAGGAGGGAAGAGGTCAGAACGCGCCCCAGGTCTCTCTGCAGTTTGATTTTGCCAGTGCTCTGCTCGCGAGAGTCGGACGCGAGCAGCTCTCTCGCCGCGGCAAGGGCGGCTTGTCCAGCCACACTCCAAGAAAATGAATTCGGGAATCCAGCCGAGGCCTCGCGCAGCTCTTCTACGAATGAGCGGCTCTTCCAGAACTCAGGGCTGCATTTGTTTCTGGATGAGCGCGACGACGGCGCGATTCCTCTCAGCGGCTCTCAGGAACTGTTGCCAGAGGGACGGCCACTGAGGAAAGATGGTTAGCGCAGATCTCATCATTGAGGCCAGGCACATCACATTCGCAGATTGTATTTTTGGGCCTCCCCACGTCGCAAGCTCGAAGAAATCAGCACGCGTGAGGGCACAGTGGGGGGCCTTGAACACCATTGCCAAAATGGCGCGCACTGCTTTTGGGAGGTGGGCGGGGGGGGGCAGGAACTGGGCGACGTAAGAGAGGGCGGGGACTGCTCTACGATTGCATAGATAAGCCGCCACTGCGGTTAGTGGACAGGCGCCGGCGATGGCACAGCAACGCTCTAGATGTTTGGCCAGAGGGGCGGTCCACGAGTCCCCTTGGGAGGCCGGTCCTAAAATCAGGCCCAGGTAAGTCAAAGTGGCAATGATGCGGAACGGGGCCCATTCTGGTGGGTTTTCACCCAGCCAGTTCTGGTAAGTCAGCCAAGCGCGTTCATTAAATTCGCCAGACAGGGGGACAATGAAACACTTCTGGTGCTTGAGCACCAATCCTGCAAATAACTTAGCACATGAGAACATCTTGTGGAGCGTCTTCAGTGCTTTGATATTGTAAACCACAGCTCCTAAGTCGTCAGCACAAGCTCTGGCCACGCCGTGCCTGGGGGAATGGAGGGAGAGAGCCAGCTGGGCGAGGAAAGGGCGGGAGGCGACGGCGTAAAGTAGGCCTGAAGCTGGGCAGCCTGGGATAATTCCTGAAGCAATGAAAAAGAGCACTTGGGTTTGGTCGGCAACGCTTCCGAAGCAAACCACGTTTTCGCAAGAGTTGTCTAAAGAATCTACGAAGGGGTTCGGGGAGAAGGAGGGGATCGAGGACGAGGGAGATCCACTTCTGGGCCACAGAGGGGAAAGCGCGGCCGAAATCGAAACTGATAACGGAGGGGAGAGAGGACTGGCGGGAGTCACTCATCGAAGCCACTCTCGATTGCATATCTAACTCGACGATGTTTAGTCCATGGTTTCGACCACGCACGAATCCTCTTTGCGATACTTCAATAAATTCCGGGAGCCGATTCGATATCTCATAGCAGTAGGCTGCCGTAATAATTTTCGAGTCAGTGCTTGTAGGCCCAACGGTCTTGTTTGCGCAGGGTCCCTGTAGACGCCCTCGGCGTCGGACTCCTCCGTTCCTTTAGGAATGAAAACGCCCTTCAGGTGATTGAAATCATGCGGAAGGTCGCGCCCCTCCATCTGCCATAGCATCAACTCTGCGAGAATTCTGCTGCCGCTGGGACGCCGTCTCCAAGCCTCATACTCTAGACCGTCGGGCCCTGGTCCCGCATTGGCGGCACGTCTGAGAACTCTTTCTATCGTCCTCTGGGTCGGGGGCAGCATATCTCGTAAACCGGCGCTCGGAGCGAACTTCTCCCGGTAGCGCGCGGCAGAACCTGCAAAAATAAGCTCGGCGGAAAACACCTGACCCCAGTGCGCGCCAAGGCCAGCAAGAGTTTCTTCAGGACCTGCGGCGCGGCCGCTGGCCTGCTCGAGGCCCTGAAGGGGAAGACTGCGGTTGAAGGGCGACCAGAGCTTACCTCTGTGGATCAGTCCTTTGAGTTCCCTTCTAAGTTTGGCTCTGGCGCGCTCGGGTGGCTCTTGAAGCTCAGCGCGGACTTGCCCTTGAGCTCATTCATTCGCGTTGGAATGCTCGGCGTTGGACCGTCTTAGGGACTCATTTCCATGCAGGAGCCTGACACAGTTGCCAAGCACATCAATGTCCAGGAAACGCCTGCCCAGGGGATGAGATCGGTGAACTTTCTGAGCCAGCCCCACATTTTGACCCCATACAGCCCTGGAAATAGAACGGAGGACCGTGAGACGGGACAGCGGGTCATTCGGGGAGTGCACGATCATGTAATTCCTCGTGCGGTGGGCAGCTGCATTCATCAGGCGCTTGTGGTATGCCACTTTCAGCGGCGAGGACAGCGGGGTCTCCTCGCAGTTGAGAGCAGCTTCCATGAACTGGCAGAATTCGTCTCTTTTGTAAATATCAGGATGGACGGGTTGGTTCTCAGGGTCTCGCGGTCGACGGGCACCAACGGTGATGGATATCGCAGCGTGATCCGAGATGGCGGCCGTGTTCAAAACCTCAGGATACCCGTGTACTGTCCCACGCATACACACCTGAGAGATCGCCCAACCTGGGAATGAGACGAATATCCGATCGAGGTTCGAGACAGTGGTGTTCGCCGCGCAAAAGTGGGTCGGCTCGTCTACCTGCACCTCAGTAAACTTTTGAAATAATCCCTTCCGCCGAAAGGATGCTTGCATACGCCAGTCCTGAATCGCAGCTGCGTCAGCGGGATGATCGTGGAGAGAGCGAGGGGGAGAGGCAAAGATATTGAAGTCCCCCGACATTGAAACCAAACATTGTTCTGGGTGAGCATTGGCGAGGTCAAGCTCCCGAGAGATGTGCCCGTTCACATATTCGAAACCCCCAGCTCGAATGCCGCGGTTGTGGATGTTGAAGTGGGAGAGGGAGAAGCCCGAGGGGAAGGATAGATACAGCTGCAAAACTCGGCCTGGGATGAGCACTGTCTGGTGCACCACAGGACGCTGATCAGCAGGGAGGTGGTGGAAGTCTGGGAAGAACGTGAGCACTCCTCCACCTCGCGCGGTGCCAGGTGCCCCGAAGGAGTAGATCGCCAAGTGAGAGACGCGCGCGTGGCACAGGAAGTCCTCGATCTCAGCTCTGGAGCCGTGTCTCCTGCACTGAGACAACCGCTCCTTTGGCCAGCAACTTGCGTAGATAGCCCAGGCGCCTGGAGCGAACCCAGGGTTTGTGA